CATTTACAGATGACCGTTTTGTTATGAAGCAGATGTCGAAACAGGAGTTACAATGTTTTCTGGAGTTTGCTCCTCATTACTTCCGCTATGTCAATAAGGCGCTTGATGAGCAGGTGTGTGATCACGTGACCGGATGTCATTACAAATGCCAAGCCCATACCTGAAATACCTACCCACTTACACCCCAACCCATTTGTTTTAATTTGCAACCTTTTGCTCCAAAATTCTCTCTTCGTCTTCTCCTGTCAAATTTTTTGAAGATCATGGGGAGTTTTCTGGAAAAGCGACACGGCCTCATGCCCAATCTAATGGACATGTTGCTCAAAGCGTTTTTGCAAACATTTGAACTTTACCATTTAATTTTTTCACAAATACTAGAAGGGAAGGAATGGATGGGATCAAATATGAGGGATCCCAGTACCAAAGACGGGGATGTTTTCAGTGGGGGATCCAGGGGAGGGGCCTTGGGGCCCCCCCTTATTTTTTTACCAAACTGAGGCCCGAAGGGCGGAAAAAGTATTTTTTTTGGATGCCGGATCCCCCCTCCCCCTTTTATCTCAGGGTCTGGATGACCGGGCTACCCCGTTATCTGAAAGTTTGGATCCTCCACTGGTGTAGGGGTTATCAAACCGCTGTCTCAAAGAAGTTCCTGTGACGTCTTAGTACCAAAGTCGGTGATGTTCAGGGTTTTTAAAAACAAACCATTGTCCCCCGCGTAGAGGGCTTCCAAGACGATTACTGTACTTGCGAAGTATTTATGTAGAAAATAAGTGACTTCTTACTCTCTGTTATAATGTTCTGATTTGCCGTCTTTTTATTGTTTTGTCACTAGCGACCGACATTGTTAGCAAAGATCTTGGGTATTTACAGAATAGGTTTCAAGAACCCTCAGTCGAGCCTGAGACAAGATGTACTGGTCATGGAGAACTTGTTTTATGATCGCAAAATTGACAAGGTAAACTGTTGGGTGTCCTGTGCAGGACCAAAAGAGGCTATGTATGGATGTTGATAAGCGATCGGCTTACAGCTCTTAGTGTAATAATTGTTAACTTAACTGTCTTTGCCTAAACTGTCTATTGTTGCTTGCATTGAAGATCGTTTGACCCCTACCCCTGACTTTCAATGTTACAAAAATTAAACCAGGGGAAACTACTCTATTCCTGAGTTAGTTCGGTTTGGATGGGATTAAATCGACCACATTGACATTGGTTGAGACACTATATATTTCCTCATTTCTTCTGACTTTTGTGCTTTCTTTCCAGACTTTTGATTTAAAAGGATCCATGCGTAGCCGTTACGTTCAGACTTCAGAGATGAAAAATGATGTTCTTCTAGACGAAAACCTGCTTGAAAGTAAGTAACGCAATATCTAGCCTCTTATGCAGACTTTCTTAAATCTTCATCACGCGTTCTTCCCCCACATGTTCGTGGGAAGGAATGCGTGACAAAGCACGAAAAACACCTGCGAAGAAGGCTTCGCTGTCTCAGATTGTGTGGCTGGTCTGAACACCTGTCATTCTGAAGACCTTTAAATTCAGGGACACTTTCCATTCAACAAAAATTCCACTTGTGAAAAGTCGGACATTTCACGAGCCTGATGGAACGGTACATTCCGGTTGCACAGACCCGACCCAAGCCACCCGCGCGTTTGGTTATTGTACTTGTCAGCAGGACTCATAGGAGCGGTACTGCGGACAACAATTTTGTCAAATGGAAAGGGACATTTCGGTACGATCGACAGAAATGACCTGGCCTGTCTCAATGGAGACCACCTTCTAAGGTGGTCCCAAGTATTGCGGTTGGACCGAGCCGAAAGGGTCCGTGCCATATTTTGGTTTCTAACTGAAATTTTCGGAATTCTGGGCTGAATGGAAAGCTCCCCTGACTTAAACTATTGTGGGGTAGTTTGAAGAAAGAGACCCTGGCAACGATTTTGTTGAGTTCTTTGTTTGAAGTTTGTGTTTCTTCATCTTTAGTGATCCGTGAGAGCCCAATATTTTTCCGGCCACACTCTAAAGCTATTCTTTCACGCGCCATTCATAATGACACGGAGTTCCTGGCTCAGCAGATGGTCATGGATTACTCCCTCTTAGTTGGAATAGACGAAGCCCGATCAGAACTCATTATTGGAATTATTGGTAAGTCGGAGCGGAAAAACTGATTGTTGTCCTCTTAAAAGCCTTATCAGTTTTTATTTTAACATGTTAATCACGATTTCCAAACGCATACTGGCGTGTTAAAAATGTTAAATAAAGTCATCGTTATTATCATTGCTGGTTTAATTTATTAAATATTTATTTATTTAAATATTGTAAATATGACAATCTATTAATGAACGGATTATTTCAAAATAGACCATAGTCGTGTGCTAAGTGCCCTGGCCTTTGAATAGAAGCGAGGCTGGAGGTTACCTTGTTTTATTACAAACCTTCCTGTATAGTAAATGATTATGTTTATAGGCTTGTTAGCATGCAAATAACATGATCAGGAAAGTTTAAAACAAAACAAGGTCGCCTCTAGCCTTCTTCTATTCAAAGACCAGGGCGCACAACTGTAAAATGGCCCATTGTACACAATCACATGGAAGCTTTTCGGTAAGGGTGTTCTGGTGTAACTGCCTATTTTCATCTGATGTTTTTTTATGTTTTCGTTTTTGCAGATTTTATTCGAACGTTCACGTGGGATAAGAAATTGGAAATGTATGTAAAGGCCAGTGGGATTCTGGGAGGGCAAGGAAGGATGCCCACTGTGGTGTCACCTGAGTTGTACAGGACACGATTCACTGAGGCCATGAAGAGATACTTTCTTATGGTCCCTGATAAATGGACCGGTCTTGGAAGTGATCTTGATTAAAGAGCCTGCTTAGCTTCATACCCGTACACTATTAAACATCGCGCGTGGCACCGAGTCAGAATTGAATCGGAACGCTTTTCCACATCTGCACTTCAAAAGGTCCTCAAAACCCTTAACCCTGATATCAGGATAGTGATCATCATTACTGTCAAACATGATGCTTTCAATTTATCCAAGAAGGCAATACTAGTGTACCTTCTGAGGATCACCAGACTCTTCTCTACACATTTCCCATGGAAATGATGTTGAACCGTTTTTACTTGGTGATCATATCTTTTCTTCTCATAACCTTTACGTCTGGCCAAGTATTGTTATTTTAAGGAGAAATTAGATGCTGGTCAGTCTTACCTACATGTGCCTTGACCGTCATTCTGTAAATATCCAACGCGGATTAGAGCCCCATACGAGAATATCTTTCAGTTGTTTTTAGTTGATAATTTTTTGTAAATACCTTAAAAATCATGCTTGGTAGAGTCAAGATTTCATTCACAAACACAGACGTTTGAACTCGAAAACTTCGTATCCACAGACTTAGACGTAAACATCACTTTCTATATCGTAGTGCACACTCACCGAGTGTCATGCGAAAGGATTATTCCGTAGTATTCATTGAAATTGAAGTGTTTCACTCACCAGTAATGAATTTTTGATGATATATAGAATTTTTGCAACGACAGAGAATATATTTTTACTAAAACACACAATTGAAAGGCTCTCTCAGCTAACTTCTTATGATAATACGATAATTTACCATAAGAAGAAAAACCTGGGAAAGTTTATTTTTTTCCAAGACAAACAATAAGTTTTTTAAGCGATAAATTCAAAAGAAAAGTTAAAATAGAGATAAATAATACGTTAGAGAAATACTGGGAAATTAAAGATGCAGATAATAGCTTAAGAAATTATTTATTTGAGATTACGTTGCCTATAGTGGTTGTTCGAATGACAGCAACTCCAAAGAATACAACATTTGCAACAGTTTATGGAACCAGGGATAGAAAAAAACCTACACACGGGAAGCTTTATCTTAGTAGCAAATTTTTCGTGCAGTTCCTAAAAAATTGCGATATAAATGACATTGAATTTTGTTAAATCCAGTGTCCAGAATCAGATTTTATATTTTTAAAAACTTGAAAAAACAGTCCTTGATGAGAACGTAATGCATGGTCACGTGGGTTGCTAGTGCAACTATACTGCAAGCAGTAATTCATCAAGCAGAAGTTAAATAAATATAACTCTATTTATTGCATTTGAATTGATTGTGTTTATAAAACAGTTACTTGACTTGTACTGAACTTTGCGACGAAAATATTTTCAGTTGTACAAGGATTCAGAATAGAAATGTCTCTTAAGTTTTCTTGTCTTGATAATTAAATAGCACTTAATCTTAAGTTCGAATTGGAATATCGCTAAGCACTAAATAAAATGTACTACTTTCATACGTATCTATGACGCTTTTTGCTACTTCCCAAACTCTGACATTCTTAATTAAAGTTTGATTTGCAGAACTTATTTCTATATTGGGTACTAATTCACTCGTGTTGTCACCACAGGGCTCGAGACAACAGAACCAAAATAGTTCACGGGATAAGGGAGACAGTGATGAATTGGTTTGCTCGTTTTTCTAGCTTCTGTTTAAGTCAAGTTCTCTAACGTAATTAGCAGCCACTTCCGCCTCGTTATTGGAATGACAAGTGAAAACGTAGAATCCTGAAAGGTAAAGACTAAATTCTTATCTATTTTCGAGGCTGGGATGAGTTGTCTATTGTCGTCGTGGAAAACGCCTAGAAATAGATTGATCGTAAAGTTTCGACGGTGGAAGCTTCATTTGAGAGAGAGGAACCCAGATGTAAGGCCAGGAAGTCAAACAAAGATTTTACACAAAGAAGACATGTCGCGCATCCAGGGAGGCGAAGATCGGGAACATTAGCAAAGTCTTAGTGTTCGTTGTACACGCAATTGTTGTTTATCATTGACCAGGACGGTAAATCACGTAGAAATCACGTAGAAATCAAGTTGACCTTCGCTGTTAATCTGGTTACCAATCTGCATATTCTGTTTTTATTCTTATGTTTATGATTGAGATCGCTTAGCAGCAAGCAATTTGCGTTTACATCTTTAAAGTTCGTCTGGTAATTGACTGATCATCAATGTAAAGAATGGCGGTACTTTTCCGGAATAACATCTATAAGGCCTGTTGAAGATAAAGAAATAACACACAGAAAACAGGATTAAGAAAAAAAGCAATTAAATCCCTATAAAGTTATGCTAGAGGAATTGAAGAAAATCGAGTCAGCATAAAAGCGATTTTTGTTTTGGAACTTGACTGACCTTTAGACTCCATCCAGTTCCTACTGAAGAGACGGCGGAAATATTTCTGCCAGAAACCAAATGAGAATCGTTAAGACGGCGAGAAGATGATGTGACTAAAATTAACACATGAATTCACAACAACTTACCTGACCCGTGTCACACAGGCATGTGGTAATCACGTGACCAGGGCCTAGCAGCTCTGCAACCTGTGAAAAAAAAAAAGAAGACGTATATAAAACCATAAAATCAAAGTACCATGCGCTGATGAAATGATACTCTGGTTCATAAGCGCGTGGAAATTGGGGTAATTCCAAAATCTAGATGCATCTCAATATCGGGATTACTGACTCTCGTGTCGTGTTTGAAATCCGGATGAAACACTCGCACTCGAGTTCACTTATCCTCCTTTGTTTTGTATTGTTCTTTCTGTAACATTCTCTGTAATTGTTATTCATTATTGTTGAAGAATCAGTGATTGAATACCTTGACTGCAGCCGCAACATTCAATCCAGACGATGCTCCTACGAAAAATCCCTCTTCATGAAGTAAAAAGAATGTCTGTATTCAACAGAAAGAAAATAAGAACTCTGTTTGGAGAAACATAATACGTAAGGTACGTTTACAAAAGTACTTCAATTCACAGAAACTTTCTCACTTCATTTGGCCTCTTTAAACTTTAAGTTACTTATATCATCAGCGAAACAAAACTGGGGCTGTTGCAGTAATTTCCCAATTGAAAAGGAAGTACATGCGTGGGTACCTTGGTGGTTAGAGCACACACTTCCAACCATTTTTAGCCACTCCGCCCTAGTTCGTATCCAAGGGTGATCAGTGACATATGTGGGCCGGATGATAAGTTAATGGTCCTAGCCCTTTCTCCGAGAGTTTCCCCCGGTATTCCGGTTTTCCACTCTCCACCAAAATGCAACATTTCCAAATATCAATTCGTTCTCTATACCGTACGAACACGCTTAACATAAGTTCGCGGGAATAGAAATAACAGTTTTACCATTTCTACAGCTTCCTTATCAGAAACAAACACAGCATTATCAATTGGAGCTCCTTGTAAATTGCTCGTGACTCGACCCTGACCGATACCTGAAATAAAGGTGAAAATTGAAGTGAACGGTACATTTCTTCCTGCTTTGTGAGAAAGGTGTTTGCGACTCAGTCAGTCCAAGACGGGTTGCTCACGAACCAGTCGACTGCAAGCGGGGGAGGGGAGGGGGGGAGTGGGGTAGCAGAAGCTATGAACACTCTCCTCCCTTCCCCACCCCGCCTGTGTAGCGGAGAGCTTGGAAACAGAGGACAAAGACAAGCGTATAGGCCACGATAGGGCGTACCCCACCACCCTCAGGGATTACACCCCCTAAATTTTGTTACTTCCCCGATAATCAAACAGCCAGGGTAGGGTGAAGCCACGACTCAACTCCAACAATGGTTACCTTCCGTAATGGAGCTGCCATCACTTCTTTTCAGCTCTCCATATTTGAAATAATTGTACAGAACACTCCCCTATTATGAATAAAAACATATGATAAAAATCTTTAAGGTGCATTGTCAACAGTGCAACAAAAAATGTTTAGGTTGTGTCTCAATTAAGGGCGTTAGAAGATATAAAAAGAATAACTTGGTAGCTGAGTAAACTGGCAAGCCAAAGATGAAGAGGTACTGTATAGTTTTTTGTCCAGGAAGATTTCCTGAGTCAATGAAATCATCGCTTTTCTCGTGAGTTACGTTAGAGAGATTTTCTAAAAGCACCACGTTTACAGCAAATGGCAAAGATACCACGTTAGCGGTAACCGTGATGCTTGACCAATGTCTTCTCTCATTTTAAGTGTATTCATGATTCCGAAAGTCCTAATGGGATTTCTACATGCTCACGTAACACATTTCCCAGTGAGCTGTATTACTCAACATTGTTCAAATAAAACGATGCAAGTATTACATCAACAACAGCACTGCTGGATTACCTCGGGATCTGCTAGAACAACCTTAATATTTGGGTTCTTTGATTTAAGGTATGATCCCACACCTAACAACAAAAGAAAAATGACCTGACAGTTTAGAAAATAAGGGGAACATTTTGAAATGAAAATATTGAGTAATATTTCCAATGTGTAACAAAGGAATGAGAGCGATAACCATGGCAGGCGTAACTCGGAAGGAAAGGTGCTGGTCTGTGGAGCAAGACGTCTCTTGATTCCGGGTCTAACAATAACTCAGGAAGAAGGTACTGCCCTTGCCCTGCAAATTCTAACTATCAATCTGCTTGGACAGGATATTAATTACTTGGAAGCTCAATTACGGACTTCTAACGACTTTAAATACACATCGTTATTGTTTTAGTGTCAGACTGATAGTTTCTCTCACTTGTCAACCAATCGATCACTCACAAGGCATTCGGCTGGTCATATTAATGAGGTAAAATTGTGAAGAAGATAACGACTCAGGACCTCGGATGATAGTGATAATTGGGTGGTTGTATTAACGAGATATAGTCAAATCTCCACTAACGACCACCTCTCTACAACGGCCAATTTTTAGGTGCACAATCCCAGGGCTTTCAACCCCCCACGTCATCAAATATTGAGAATTGATAGGGAAGGATTGATAGATTACGTAATATCGTACTACAAATGACGTCATTTGTACCAAAAATGCTCGTTGGTTTCCATCGACGTATATAGCACATAACCGTTTATATTTAGCCACATTATCAGATTATTGCTCAAATTACAGTGGCACACTAGAATTTATGACAAGACGTTCTGTGTTAACAGTAGCTCAAACAACGCAAAATATTTGAAATTTTATGGTCGGAAAGTTGAGTCTACAAGAAATAGCAACTTTGGCGATTATCCGGACGATATCAGACTCTAAGCTGGAGACCGGGAGATACGGTCCAAAATCTGGACTCTCCCGGATTATCCGGGAGAGTTGACAGCAGTGCAGTCCATTCACTGACTCTTGTTTAAACCTCTCTACAAGGCCTACTTTCTTCTGCCCCCAAGGTGGCCGTTGTAGAGAGTTTCAACTGTAGTTGAATAAGTAAATGCCTGGGATTTTTTGTTCGGCAAGAAAAGGGTTGTTATCTTTAACACTGTTGTTGTTAGGAGGGGCCGCTGTGTTTGTTGTTTACCTGCTATTGTTCCCCCTGTTCCCGTAGAAAATGTCACAGCATCCACTCTCCCCTCTGTCTGCTGCCATATTTCTGGTCCTGTTGTTTCAAAATGTGCTCTTCTATTGGATATATTGTCAAACTGATGAGGAAGAAATTAAAATCAATAGTGATCATGTCGTAACTCACTACAATCCAGTCTAGTGGTAGATCCTTCATTTAAGAGGGGCGGGGTCACTGTCCGGCTTAAACTGGATACTTTTGCTCCTCAAACCTACAGGCATGATTTTGGTCAAAAATAGGAGGCCTTACACTGGATCTCCCCTTTATTCCAGTGGAGATAAAGAGCTTTAATCACTGGACATAAAATGTCATACTGTCCTTCACTTACATGTCAAAGAAGTGACCATACACAGGAGCTACAAGACCCTATGTAGTATAGTATCTTGTTGATGCACTACTACAGTTCTCTGTTGACAACATCGCCCCAGCATTGTTGCTCTCTTGACTACAAGACAAATAACTCCCATCAAGATGAACATTGTCAGCTTCAGCAGCAAGTGTCTGCTTGTCATCTGTTTTAGAGAGGTCGGTCCGTCTTACAGATTGAAAATCCTGCTCAGCGTATTTACTTAATGTTAATTTGAAAATTGTAAAAGTGACACTGTTATCTTAAGAGTCTTAACCGTCTTACCCTAAAGAACGCAGCATAGTCAAAACGTTGGTTAAGACTCTTAAAATAACAGCGTTGCTTTTACAATTTTCAAATTAACAGTCTGTTTATACACTGTCATGTAGAGGTATCCACTTAGAGAGGGTTGATTGTACAGTTGACTCCTGATAACTTGAACCCTCGCTGACTCGAACTTTGCGGTAACTCAAACCAAAGTCAGTTTCCCCTGGATTTCCTTCATGCATTTCCCGTAACTTTACTCTCGGTAACTTGAACCCTCAACAACTCAAACCATGTTATAAACATATGAGAAGGTTCGAGTTATCGGAAGTCAACTGTATTTACTAAACTATCTTTATGTTGAATCACTTGATTTGTCCAGATTGCATTCTCAGTGCTCTCAGCATAACGTCTTGCCTGAAAAAACAAACAAACAAACAAACAAACTTAGAATTTAATCAAAGTTTGCTTTTCTTTGTGCCACTGATGATTCAAGCATAAAACATTTTGCAAGTGATAAGCTCAATCCACTTGCCTTTGTCTTGTTTTAATTTATGGTTTTGATAATGATTTAACAAGAGCATCTTAATTTGTAGACTTTTCCCATGACATGCATCAAAACATTTACTGGCCTAAGCCAGAATGGGTGTCTACAATAGAAGACTTTTGAAGATGAACCTTACAGAGCTGCTAGATGTGTACTAGAAGAGATCCATCTCACAATGTTATTATTATTATTATTATTATTATTATTATTATTATTATTATTATTATTATTATTATTATTATTATTATCTTGCCTATTTTATTAATATTACCAAATTAAAGAAGGCAGAAACATTACTGGTCATTGCATCAGTGAAATGCTATAGCCTCCAATGCAGATTTTCTCAGGGGTTCCTTAGAGGATTGCATGGCGAGCCAAAAGAATGTCTGTGTGGGAGGCTAGAAATGCTAGGGTTGAAATGTCATTGTAACCTGATGATTGTAGTTCATTTGATCATCAAACGGCACGGCAGGGACAGCATGAACCTCAGCACCTAATGTCTGAAGCACTTCTATTTTTTCCTACAAACAAAAACAAAAGAAATTTGCAGAAATCCTCACGTTATTTATTTGGTTAGTTTATTAACCCTTTAAGCCCTAAGAGTGATTCTCCTTGTGATATCAATGTTTTATCAAACAGATTGGTGATGAGAATTAAGGACATAATCACACAAGCCACAATGAGTTGATACTTCAACAACTTCTCACTATCACTTTTATAGGAAACGTATAGGGACAACAAATGGGAATTTGAATTTTGATATTAGGGCTTAAAGGGTTAATTCAGCGAGCTCTTCCATGAGTAATAACCCTTTAGCACTAAGATTTGGTAGTTGCTTAGCAGTTTTTGCGCCAAAAATGTACCTGGACTTCACAATCTTATTCATAGGTACAGAGCAACCTTACTGTTCATTAAAACTCTTACCTGTGATTGTGTGTCTGGCATAAATATAACACATTTGTAACCTTTGGCAAGACATATGTGGGCAAGTCCAATCCCTAAAGAAATTAAGTTGAACAATTAAACATCCATTACGGGTTAAGGAATTATAAAACAAATGAAAAACTCCATATTTACAGACCTGTGTTGCCAGCTGTTCCTTCAATGACTGTCCCACCAGGTTTAATAAGTCCTGAAAATAAAACAGAGCCAGAACTAGGAGGCAAATATTATGTGTGTTATTTTACCAATCTTCTTCATTTGAGATGGCTGGATATTGGCCAAGTTCTTACTTTGGGTGTTTTTATGAACTGAATAAAATGAAATCCAGGACAATACCCAGCCATCAGAAAAAATGACAATTCTGAGGATTTATTATATGGTCAAGAGAAAATTTTATTTCATGACCAAAGTAAGACAGGCCTATCTTTCCCACTCAGGTATAGCCAAATCAGAACACAAGATTCACTTCACCTTGCCTGCTTACACAGCCAGCCTTTCAGGGCTTGGTTCTTCAAATGCCAGTTAGGGGTAACCCAACTAAAATTTACAATCCATGTTTAGAGTATCATGGACTTGCCCATGGTGCAGAATGAAAGACCTTTCTAATTTGCTTTTGAAACTACTAACTCAACTTATTATAAAACAGCTTTTATGTTTTCGCTGTATCAATTTATTTTCTTTTTAAAATTAATACCAACCTTTTTCTTCTGCTTCCTTAATGAGGTACAGAGCAGCACGATCCTTCACTGACCCACCAGGGTTAAGGTGTTCTGCCTTTGCGGTAATGTCACAACCTAGAGTCAAAAAGCTGTGAGCAATGATTGCACTAAACAGGGTTCTGAAAAAGAGGTTGTTACCCCATACTGGGTCGATACTGATTAATTTTTTTGTCCTAGAAATAGTGAGGGTTTCATCCCCTTTGTGAAACCCTTTATTATAAACTTGGGCCAAGTATCCACACCCCTGGCTGACCATGGCCACCCCTGGAGTTAAACTACAAGCAACCCACAAAAAACCCTTGACCCATTCCGACTAAAGGCTAGCACTGTTAGGATAATAAATGTGGCTAGTACTCAAAAAGTCAGTTTTTAAACGTTTTTAAGATGATATATTGACTTATTCAACTACGTTTATCAATCCAGATTTTTGAACTTCAACGAATGCAGAATCACAGTTTTTTAAAAACTAACCTCACCATTTTTTTGTTTATAGTGTGTGCTAAATTCCTTACTTACCCGTTTGCTCACTCAGTTTGTTAAATCTTATCAGAGGAGTGCTGTTTAATAAAAACCAAAAAGGATAAAGTGTCAACTGAAGCCATTCACTGACAAT